CTGCCAACCAGTTACAAAAGTTGTCATGTCCATTGAGATGTTTTCCCATTTCTCACGTGGAAGAAGGTCACAACAACCTTTATAACATGATCCAGATTTCTCCTCACATACATCGTTAAAGTAGGTCAAGGGAGGTCAGGCACGTGCATTTAAAAATTACGGTAAAACTGCTGCTATGAAGTCATTATGTGGGTAATAAAGCAAGCTCTTATAAATCGATACTTAAGCAATATTTTATATCGTGTGCATTTTTTTATCGAACATAAATAATGTTAAAACTCTTAAAGTTTACATTTAAAGAATGTATGAATGGCGTATAAGGGGATTATTTAGTGATCTCGTGTTAACATTTGAGTCTGCTGCGGCTAATGTCATAGAGTAGACGTGTCTCATAAGATGGGTTTGTGAGTCACGTGATGAGGATCTGAAATGTGGACTTGAGTCATATGATCACACCTCTAATGTGAGGGTTAGGTCTCTGTCTATAATCTTGTTGTGGTGAGTCATGTGACCAGCACCTGAGATGTAGGAGTGAATCATGTGACAAGCACCTGAGATGTAGGAGTGAATCATGTGACCAGCACCTGAGATGTAGGAGTGAATCATGTGACCAGTACCTGAGATGTAGGAGTGAATCATGTGACCAGCACCTAAGATGTAGGAGTTAATCATGTGACCTGCATCTGAGATGTAGGAGTGAATCATGTGACCAGCACCTAAGATGTAGGAGTGAAACATGTGACCAGCACCTGAGATGTAGGAGTGAATCATGTGACCAGCACCTGAGATGTAGGAGTGAATCATGTGACCAGCACCTGAGATGTAGGAGTGAACCATGTGACCAATATGTAGGAGTGAATCATGTGACCAGCACCTGAGATGTAGGAGTGAATCATGTGACCAGCACCTGAGATGTAGGAGTGAATCATGTGACCAATATGTAGGAGTGAATCATGTGACCAGCACCTGAGATGTAGGAGTGAATCATGTGACCAGCACCTGAGATGTAGGAGTGAATCATGTGACCAGTACCTGAGATGTAGGAGTGAATCATGTGACCAGCACCTAAGATGTAGGAGTTAATCATGTGACCTGCATCTGAGATGTAGGAGTGAATCATGTGACCAGCACCTGAGATGTAGGAGTGAATCATGTGACCAGCACCTGAGATGTAGGAGTGAATCATGTGACCAGCACCTGAGATGTAGGAGTGAATCATGTGACCAGCACCTGAGATGTAGGAGTGAACCATATGACCAATATGTAGGAGTGAATCATGTGACCAGCACCTGAGATGTAGGAGTGAATCATGTGACCAGCACCTGAGATGTAGGAGTGAATCATGTGACCAGCACCTGAGATGTAGGAGTGAATCATGTGACCAATATGTAGGAGTGAATCATGTGACCAATATGTAGGAGTGAATCATGTGACCAGCACCTGAGATGTAGGCGTGAATCATGTGACCAGCATGTTGGAGTGAATCATGTGACCAGCACCTGAGATGTAGTAGTGAATCATGTGACCAGCACCTGAGATGTAGGAGTGAATCATGTGTAACACACTTAGGACACAGCTATAACAGACGTTTTGGGTAGAGACTGGTTGCTGTGCATTGTGTGTGTGTTAGTTCTGTCTTGATCGTCTTAGAGTAATGATGTATATGATCTGTGTGACTCAACTGGGAGAGTGATTTCGTGAGAAGTCTATATGGACGATAATGGCATAATGACAGCCTTTTGTCTTGGTATCCTCACATGGTAGTGGGTCAAGTAGGTGAACCCTCTCACATTTGAACATTTTAGGTAGTCTTTTGTCTTGTTAATGTGAAGCCGTAGTGTAGTCAAGTCTTAGTATCGTTCGTTCAAGTCGTCCTATATATTTTTATAGTGTAACTAGCGTACCCGTCCCCCGCGTTGCCGCGGGAAGAAAAGAAAGTCCGACGAAATATATAAGAAGGGTTTCATCCATACGTTATCAATCCTATATTCTTAGACGCGTGACCTTGTTTTCTAAAAGTGAGCTATTTAAATGTAAACAGTGCCTGCGCTTGGCTCATAAATATCGGGACACGGGTTAACCTACACTACCGCATGAAAACCTTGAGTGTACATCAATCACTCACCGAAATAATGAGGTAGAACAAACTTCGGTGACCGTAGAGGGGTGCTCTCAGGACCCCCCACACCCCCCCTCCGCGCCCCGATTAAACTTCCGCATAGGCGCCGTCGTGCCAAACATAACCGCTCCGGAACTCTGGGTGCCAAATTCTGCATTGACGAAAATCGCACCCTCGCAGGAGCCACCCATATCATATTTTCATTATTTTGTTCACAGAAACCTTTTCGGGAGTATTCTCATCAACTCAAAGTTTCATAATACACGGATGAAAGGTGTCGAAACGCATCTGACTTTTATTTTTTATATACAGTACATAGAGAAAAATCGAACCCTCCCGTGGCGCCACCCATAGAAATTTGAAAATGTTTTTGCGCGGAAACCTCAACATCACCCAAAAGTTTGATGGCGATCATTTGAACGGTGTCAATACAATTCACTGTTATTATTTTTCTATACCGTATATAGAGAAAAATCGCATCCTCCCGTGGCGCCGCCCTTGCGAAATTAAAAATGATTTTTTAATACAGAACACTTCCCAAACTTTTATGTCTTTCTGATGAACGGTGTGAAACGAAAATCGACTTTTATTTTTATATACATTGAGAAAAAACAAATTACGCACTGACGGGGCGCCACCCCTGCGAATTTGAATTTTTTTTTTCGCAGAAACCTCCCCAGAAATATTCACAACAACTTCCCAAAGTTACACAGCGATGTGATGAGAGGTGTAGTAATTTATAAAAGACAGACAGACAGACAGACAGACAGACAGACAGACAGGCAGACAGACAGACAGACAGACAGACAGACAGACAGACAGACAGACAGACAGACAGACAGACAGACAGACAGACAGACAGACAGACAGACAGACAGACAGACAGACAGACAGACAGACAGACAGACAGACAGACAGACAGACAGACAGACAGACAGACAGACAGACAGACAGACAGACAGACAGACAGACAGACAGACAGACAGACAGACAGACAGACAGACAGACAGACAGACAGACAGACAGACAGACAGACAGACAGACAGACAGACAGACAGACAGACAGACAGACAGACAGACAGACAGACAGACAGACAGACAGACAGACAGACAGACAGACAGACAGACAGACAGACAGACAGACAGACAGACAGACAGACAGACAGACAGACAGACAGACAGACAGACAGACAGACAGACAGACAGACAGACAGACAGACAGACAGACAGACAGACAGACAGACAGACAGACAGACAGACAGACAGACAGACAGACAGACAGACAGACAGACAGACATTGCTTTATATATATATATATATATATATATATATATATATATATATATATATATATTTATATATATAGAGAGAGAGAGAGAGAGAGAGAGAGAGAGAGAGAGAGAGAGAGAGAGAGATAAATAAATATGGCATTTAACTGATAGCATATTGTAGAATCATTTGTCTACGTTAGTGTCGTCGTGTTCTAAGTTGAAGCTCTAGGAAGAACTACTGAATGGCTAGAGAGGAATATAATAGTAGTAAAAACCCTCACACTGAATAACTGTTGGTTACATAGACGCCAGGTATAACAACCGGCCCTATAATAACTAGTCCAATAGAGATACAAGAATCCGTGATAATTATTTCTCTTCAATACAATGGATCTAAGAAAGTAATTTATCTCTCACGCTTAACTTAAAAGAAACTTAATTTATAATTACCAAGACTATTGTCATTTCTCAATAACACTTGCTGGTGCCCATACTTAAACCTCGGCGCCCATCGCTGCTACCAACTCCCCCCCCCCCTCCCACACCACCCGCCAACAACCGAGCTACGCCACTGACACCAAAAGAGTTTCTTCCAGGCATCTTGCCCCCCCCCCCGAATTTTTTTCACCGCCACCCCGAACGAAATGAAATTTATATAATTTATATAGAAAATATATACTTTTAACAGTGTCCGCCCCCCCCCCCCCCTCCCCGAAGAAAGTTTACCGCCCCCCCGAAAATTTCAAGTGCCCTCCGGAGAAAAAAGTCTGGAAGAAACACTGGACACCAAGTTCTCTTGGTTATCATTGTGTCGACCTGACATGCATAACAATCAGCGAATATTAAAATAAGTAATAAAACATTTCATCCAATGTTGAAAAAAAAACTTATAGATGATTATAAATTTATAAAATTAGGCAATAATTAAAATTATCCACATACTTGGAGAATATAGCGATTATATACCTTGGCAAACATAGCAACACAACATCCCTATTTTAGTTAAGGAAATAAAAATACAAATATTTTGTTTTGGTTTTATAATGATTTTATTAATGATATATTAAAGATGTATGCAAACGGTTATCTATTGCCCCAAAAATTGATCACGGGAGGTAACAATTAAAAAGTATCCTTTTGATCAGTGATTTAATTATATACCTTGAATCGATAATAATAATAAGAATATTCTAATCTTAGTAATAAAACATTCAAAATAAAATTAAAGTTGTGTCTATCTATTGGTAGATAACAAATATACTGCTAGTCTATGCATATGCAATAATAAAATGACACCGTTTTTTTTTTCTTCGTTAATGGCTAGCACACAAACCGTCAATCAATGAGGGATTTTAATTCGAGATCACTGCATATATGGTCTTGTTATCTCATTGTAATGAAACATATTATGTTCGAGTTTTTAAAGTCAGTTTTCAAATAAAATGTTATATTTATCAACTTTAAACTTAACTCAAGAAAATTTTGCATTAGTTAAATTTTTACATCTATTTATTCTAATATATGTAATGTTCTTTATGCTTCTGAAGATTATATAAATAATTTGATTATTGCATATCCATTATTTTACCATAGCATTGTTTTCGGGTTGTTTACGTTCGACGAAGTTTCATCTCAACAGAGCTTAGAGAGTTTTTATAGCTTGCAACGTTATGCCATTGCATTCCTGTTTTAAATTTACCGTTGACGTTAACCCATTGACACCTTTCATACCACCAACCACCTTCACACATTTCAGCACAGTTGCCATGTGACCTATCGTTATCAGAGTCAATGGTTGTAAACTTCAAGCCGTTGTGACGTCTAAACCAGTCTCCAGCATTCCCACCACCGAATGACGTGATGCTCATCTTATACTTTGCTGCTTCATTTTCTACCTTAAAACCTCTGTACACAGCGTAGTAGTCTTTACCTTTATACTTCATATCAAATCTGAGTTCATTATAACCCTGTATTTAACAAAAAATTAGAAATATTTAGATATTGCATTGTGTTTTAAATATTTTAAGTATAGATCTGCTAATACTATATGATAATTATACATATGGCTAAAACGTGACGAAAATCTATAAATAATACAAGGAATTTTCTAGAACAAATTTTCCATTTATGACAATAATAATTGGCTTTGCAGTGGTTGATATTTATAATATACACATTGCTTGGAAAACTTTGTTATAAAGTGAAAATTTGAATAAACTTATTTCGATATAGCCTTAATTTATCCCATTATTACTAAAAAAATACTTCTGTTGGAAAGGAGTATATAATATTATCTATTTCCAGCTTACATTTCAGCTTATATAATAGAAATAGCATTTATATTCAATTTACGCATGTAGGCCTAATGAACGAGTGAAGGGGATGAATACTGGTGAATGTAGTTTGTACCATTTACACAATTCCGTTCGTCCCTGTTCAGTTCTCGTGCTGTGAGTTGTAATAGTCCGGTTTGTACCAGTTTATGATAGGTTATAAAAGGTGTGTGAAAACGTGTGTTTGCCTCAGTTTCGTCCAGATCTTCAAGATTTCTATAGGTTAGGTCTATACTAGTATTTAGCCACTGTATCGTAGTTTTACTAGCTTGTGTATTTTGTGTTTAGAGTAGATTGGTGTAGGTAGTGTAGATTTTATTAGTTTGTTTAATTTATCGAGCCTTTTTATTCATTTGTTACGTTTGCGGGTGTTTGTCTTATATGTTGCGCTACGCATCGGATTACCCGTAAGGCGTGTCCGTGTGTTGACAACAACATATGGCTTATCAATGATTAGAACTCCCTGCTTTTCATTAATCTCCTGACATTGCCTCTCCTTTCTAACACGCTCGCAGTTAATAAACAAAAGACAATCATCCTTCTGTCAACCCATCGGGTAATTACCCCATCTTCCCTTACAATATATATTACTTATGTACTTTTACTTCTTTTGATGAGCTCAAATCTCTAATTCTAAACCTCACTTATTCACACCATAACTTCTTTGTATCTCTTTACGTATGTTGGTTAATGGAGATAGTGACAGACTGCGGGAGTGGAATTGACCTGTTGATAAAACCCGTAGACGACGAAATGACCTGTGAAAAATATCCTACTGACTGCATTTTACTATGTTTGTTACATAACCACGATCTTTATTACATAATCTGCGTTTCCTCTTCTGAAGTTATTTTACATAATCTGCATTCCGTTTATCTAATAAACACTTCTAAAATCAACGGAACTAGACACGTAGCTTTTTTCCCGATAGAAATAAAAACACGCTTTGTTAATTGTATCCATCTATTAACAGACTCCATTTGCAGTAAGTGCACCTTCATCATATCAAGTGAGGATGCATAATATTTGTTTCGTTAGTTAGCTATTGTTTGCATAAATTGAACAACTTAACGAAAAGGATTAGCTTGCATACGCAATTAAAATAGCACTTTACTTACTCTAAGCCCACTAACAATTTTAGCCAACTTCAAAACAATCTTTTGCTCATATTTGTTATATTTCTTTATCGTACAATTCTTGAAGTCAGGCTTTTATATGTCTATCTCCTCCTCAGCTATGCATCTAGGTCTAGATGTGAAAAATGTTAGCTATGCAGAGCCTGTCTAAAAGAGCATCGTATTTTTTTCTCAAAATAAGTATACAGGTCAGTATACGACCTCTATGGCGGCTTAATACTAAATTCGTTTACAAACACCTTAAATACGCATCATCTCCTCTGGTGTCTCACCAATCCCTCCCCTTTCTGATGTTTTTGCCTCCATGACCCCACCCTCACAACCCCCATGACCCCACCCTCACAACCCACATGCCCCCCATCTCATTTCATATTATTTATTATGTATCAATGGGTGTGTGTTCTATTGCAGTTTTTTGCTGTGTGGCAGTAATATGCAGGGGTAGTTAATCTGTGGGTAATTAAAAGGGAATATGACTTGAGGATAATTATAGAGGTATGAGAAGGCGTGAGATGTAATATTTCATACTCAGCTTTCCCCTGATCCATGAAACTAAATCAATACCGCTAAAATCAAAACACTATTTCTAGAGGCGATATTTCTTTAGCGCAATTTCCATACGGACAATTGCGATTAACTCGTCATTTCTGGATGGATGGATGGATGAATGAATGAATGGATGTGTGTCCGCAGCTTTACCGCAGCTTTAAGTCGTATCTCCTCCTCAACGAAGCAATATCGAGGACTAGTTCCAAAGCAAATATGTTAAGCAAGTTCCGAGGATGATTGTGGGCCAAAAAAATTCCCGGAATTTCTTCCTGGATTTCCCGGAAAAGCAAAAAAATCTCGAAAAAACGCAGTTTTTTGCCCATATCTCGGCAACCAGACTACTGAGCGACTTGAAACATTTACCAATCGATTTCTGCCATAATTTAGAACAATATTGCCGAAGAAAGTTTTAAAAAATATCCTTTCGTTCGGTCACAACACATTTTTTTTTAAATTACATAAACACCTACAAACCGATCGTTCTCCTAGCTTGAACGCACCCCAGCATTATACGTCTTTGTGATCACTATCTATTTTTAGATAACATAAGGAAATTGGCCTTAAATTGTCACTAGACTTTTTATTAACTTGTTTTAAAAGTGTACCACATCTACATTTTAGAGATCATATAATAACATGAATAATGTGATATCTTGCGATGAATTGGAAAAGACATTTATTAACTGATGGAAAATAAAATGTTTTTTTTTTCGTTAGACTGTCTTTAACAGTTATATACGTGCATGTTGTGTCAACTGAGTTTATGACAGATAATATTTTTGTGGTAAAATACAAAAATCACTCAACAAAAAAAGCGTGTATCATACGTAATCACGCGTGTCATATTTAGTTACTACAATATATTTAATCGTCAATACAATTACTACATTCTAAATTAGATACTTTGTAGAAAATGACGTAGAAGAAACTATGATCTAATTGAGAAATTGATGTTTAAAAGACCCCATGTTTTGTGAAACAGTTATCATATAACTAAACTAACAAACTAGTGTATATATGTATCGAATAAATTGATTTTTTTTAAGAATTACAAATTAAGTGATAGCGTCAGAGGCGTAGCGACCCTTCCCGGGGACAAACTTTCGATTTGCACCCCCCCCCTCGAACTTTTCATTTGCACCCCACACTCAAACTTTCAATTTGGCGCCCCCCTCGGGAGCAAGTTTTCGATTTGCACCCCCCTCGAACTTTTCTTTTGCACCCCCCCCCCCTCAAACTTTCGATTTGCACCCCCCCCCCTCGAACTTTTCATTTGCACCCCCCTCAAACTTTCAATTTGGCGCCCCCCCTAAGGTCGGCGCCCGGGGACATATGTCCCCCCGCCCCCCCCCCCCTCGCTACGCCTCTGGAACGGCGTCAGTGTTTCTTCCAGACTTTTTTTCTCGGAAGGGGGGGGGGGGGGCACTTGAAATTTTCGGGGGGGGGGCGGTAGACTTTCTATGGGGGAGGGGGGGCGGACACTGTTAAAAGTATATATTTTCTGTATAAATTAGATAGTATAAGAGTATATGCAAATAAAGTAAACAAACGAAGACAGGCGATTGTTTTGTTTATCTAGAAACAAGATGGCTGCAAGGCACACGTGGTTAGTTGCAACCTATCATGAATTATTTTGATTTACTGTACTATAATATGATTGGTCAAGCGTATCAATGAATCTCTTCCCATTCATAATTTTTACGCGCATGCCCTTATATGGAGTTTGATATAAAATGTTACTTTGAAGAAAACAACTTCTATCCCACTTATTTTCAGAACAAAAGAAAAGTCACTACACCAGCGGACACACGAGTGCTTGGCCCTTAGATTGCTGTAAAGTCTATGGTTCCTCGCGGACAAGTAATAAATGATGTAATACCCGCTCGAAGATAGCCGCTGTCCGCGTGGTAGTGTGAACACTTGCCGGGGGTACCATGTTTCAAATCGTAAGAAACGGATAACCGTCAGCTGTAGAAGTCCGAAATGTCCGGTTAGATAGATAAAGGTATTAGTTCCGAATTAAGTAACACAAATGTTGGGGAGCAAAATTAAAATTTTGTCGAAAAAATGTGTATTTTGTCCCCTTAAAAGATAATTTCAAATAAACAAACAACATATAATACAAACACAGTGAAAGTCGTTCAACTGTTATTGTTTTTTTAATTATTTAGGTAATAGCTAAGCTATTATTGAGTATTAAAATGTGTTATCAAAACTGTCAGAAAAAATATAGGAAACAAAAAATTTGATAAATAGTTTAGAATTATTTAAATGACAAAATAACCTGTATAATAATCCATCCTCCATTGTCAGTCTTGTTATCACACAATGTCCTGCTGACATCTACTCCAGCATTTTTCATGTCCGTTAAAATGGCACATTTTGACTGGAGTAAACAATATAACGAATTTTTGTTCTAACAACTTAAGTCGATTGTTTTGGGCTGTTTTGGGCTGCTCGAGACACGTATTTTGAAAACTAAAGTATCGATATAAACACAATTTTGCTTGATTAACTCTTATACAACAGCTGTCACAAATGTAATGAAACCAACTCAAATGTTTTTGATTATCACTGCTGGCAATACTAGTTTTTCCTTAAACCAAAATCGTTTAAAAATCAGCTGAAAATGTTTTAAACTATAGACAGACGGCAGCTGTAATAATTTGTTAATACAAATACTTCTGTTAAACCTGTTTGTGTATGAGTAATCTCTGGAATTGTGTTGAAATAAATACGTAAATCTTGTAAACAAAACTATAAAATCAATACATACAAAGCTTCTAATATTTTCAACATTCGCTATTCCATGTATTTTTTTACATTTATTTTAATCATATTCTAAATATTTAAACTATTAAAACATAATATGTCATTAAAACTCGCGATGGGTTTCAAATCACAAATAAATGTTTTTGTACAAGGCTTTTTAGTGATTCACACTCTGGG